CAACGACTAGCGGGATTGACGGCTGAAAGGGCGAACATGTTTGGTGTGACGGGGATTCGAACCCGCGACCCTCAAATTGCGAGTCGAGAGCCTTAACCACCTGGCCATGCTGGAGACAGGAGTCATGAGCACCGTAGCCCAGTTTTTCAGTGCTTAAATGTTCTGTAATCTATATTTCAGCCAACGTTTCGCCGTTGCGGCTTCATCAGGGCTAGTAGTACAAGAATTAGGCTACAGCGGCATTCTTAATACAAAAAAAATACCTATAAGGATCAGAAAACCAAATAACTTCTTATAACAGTGCCGAAAAAATAACATTATAACATAATGAATCAAATTTCTCATCCGACTACCGTTCTATAATCTCAGTTTCCATGAACTGCGACACTACGTGACTGAAAATACATAACCACTCCTCGATTCAATAACCGAAGCTTCCTTCTTAGAATGTTACTTTTACATAATTAGTGAATTACAAGAAGAAGAAAAAAAGAAAGAGAATGGTTCCCGTTACCATTCATAATTGTATAATTATTAATAATGCAATGTGGGAAAACATTGTGGGATAATAATGGCTCTCAGACCAGGAGAAAGTAAGGAAAGAATTGTGTAGCTACAGTTTTGTCGTATTGTTTTTACTTCATTTTATCGTTTGTTTGTTCTGGGATAAAAATGGCACACTGACGCTAATAATAAAGCAAAGCGGGGGAAAAAATGGCGCCAATAATAATAATAATAATCATACGAAGTGAGAGACACTTGTATTTTGTGAAATTAAAAAGTCTATTTATTTTTATTATTTTGAAAAATTACAAAATTTTGCTTTAACTTTGCATTGGTAATGCTGCAATTTTAACAGGTGTTATTATTACTACCCACTAGTCGTACGGCGGTATGTCTGCGAACTTACAATGTTAGAAACCGGTTTTCGATAACCGTGGTGGGCAAAGCACAGATAGCCCATTGTGTAGCTTTGTGCTTAATTACAAACAAACAAACATTATTACTGGGCACCGTAGTTAGTTATTGGATTCCGTTCCAATGTTTTGCCTCGGGTGTTCTCGAGTTTTTTTAAACCTAAAACATTACATTACCCTTTCCGTGAGATGTTGTCAATGTATTGGCTACCAGTAAGAGTTCGTTTGTTTCTTAAAATGTTCGCACCATAAATGTTCCCAGTTTGGGAACTGGTAGACTAGAGGAATGGTAGCTTACCATCAGTATGCGTTGTTAGTTCAGGGGCATCCAACTTATATCCGAACAGTGGAGCTTCCTATCTCTTTTATAGCCCCCCTCCCCAGTGTCACGGCGATATGTATGCGGACTTACAACGCTTGAATCCGAGTTTCGATACCCGTGGTGGGCAGAGCACGGACAGCCCATTGTGTAGTTTGTGCCTGATTACAAACAAATATATCTTGTATCACACCTTCGGCTACAAAGTGTGGAGCGCGGGTTTGCAGCAACGGAACGCGAACCATTTCGGCAACGTCGGCACGCTGCCCACTAGGCTATGTCCAGCCCCCCCCCTTCAAATACCCTTTTGGCAACGGCGACACGCTTCCCCCCCGGC